CAATTTAGAGACAAAGATGTTGTGTGAGACAGTGTCGAACGCTTTGCACAAGTCCAGGTAGATGACGTCAACTGCTCTGCCGCTGTCCATCAGTTCCGTAGCCCCATCATAGAAGGCCACCATCATCTCACTTATCTCAGCATGGGATAAAACTCAGACAGATCTAGCCCCCTTTTACCTGAATGAGACCTGTGAAGTGTCACAAATTGAGAAAATTAACAGTATGGATGGTTTAGAACCAACTTTGCAATATAAACTTAACCATTCTTTCTGACAAGCAGAGCTGGAAAACTAAATTTGTCTTGTCCCTAGATTGGACAAGAGCCTTGGGTGACATTGTCTAGTGTGTGGTGTCCCTGCACACGGCAGGGGGGTTAGAACTAGATGATCTTAAGGTCCTTTCCAACCCTAACTTTTCTATGATTCTCTGATTTTGTGATTTTGCCATAAATATTCTTAATATTTAAATAGAAGATCGAGTAGCATATCAGTCCTAGCACCATTTAGTAGTTGTCTGTGGCTGTTGCTGTCTGTGGAAGGGGTGTAAGATGGGCATCATTTTGCCCCAGATGAGTAGTTACCTAAAGACAGACATAAAGGTCCTAATGTAAAAAAGAAAGAAACCATAAGAAGAAAAATTAAGAAACTAATATTATTCATGTTTATAAACTTAAATTATACTGAGGATGAAGCCAGGATTGATAGCACAAGTGCCTTTTATCTTGGGTGTACTCTCTCTGGAGCAATGCAGATTTTGTAAGCCTGTTACAGTCCAAATATTCTCCCAGCTGATTAAAACCAATGAGTTACTGTATCCCATTGGTTACATACTGTCTGCATTTTGCTAGTTTTCATAACACAGTCCTGAGGCAAGAATGGATTGAATAAACTCTTTTGTGGTTTTGCCCAGCGTGACTTTATAAAGTGTTTTAATTTCAGTAATGCTTTGCCAATCTATCTTATTATATTCACATTTCTGCGTTTCCTTTGTGAAATTAATACGTCAAAGGAATTTAACTTGCATTGTGAGGATGTGAGCGTACATTGTGAGAATGGATATTAAGCTACCTGTCTTAATAAGTGATAGATAGCACATGAAATATGACTCCAGTATCTAAGAGCTTGTTAGAAGCCAAGGGAAAGCTAGCATAGAGCTTTTGTCATGATGATCTTCCACTGTATAAAAGCATCCTGTATAGATTTGAGATCCTGCTGTTGGATGCAGTGTGATCTGGTCGGAAGTCAGTGATACATATTCTATGCAAAAGAGATGTTCATTAGTTTGATTGAAATACTAAGTCCTTTGAGACTTCAGCCTCACAGTTGGAGTGTACAGATAGGAGGGCTTGGCTATGCTGCTGGAAGACGGAAGAAAATTACTGTGCTTGTGTTGGCAATTCATAGTTCAGTCAGAGTTGCCCCTGCTGTTAGAGCCAATGGACAGAAGTGTTCCAGTAACCTGTGCTCCCCGTGATTTTTATACAAATGAGCTTAGGTTGTCTTTGTGGAGGACTAGGGGCTCACTGATTGTGTTTGATCAAGCAAATGCACTGTATTATTAAGAAAATGAACACTTGAAGAAAGCTGAAACGTGGGCACATGTTGAAAAGCTGATTGCTGCCCAGAGGAATGGCAGCCACAGCAGGGGAGGAGCAGGCATGCAGTCAATATCATTCAGCCACTTTCTAACACACAACTGACCTAGTTTTCCCTATTGGGACAGGGGTAGCCAGGCTGGTGTGAACCTTGGGCTGATGTAGGCTACTCGTGGGAAGCAGACCCTGCAGCATTCCTTCTCATGCTTACTAATACAACTGCAGCTGCAATTTTATGTTTGCAATGCCTAGCTCCTTGCCTGAGTATCAAATGCATTATCCTGTTTTACCTTCTGTGCATTTAGGTGTGGTGTTTTGACTGTATACTTTACTACAGACTTTTCCTAAATAATTTTATGGAGCAAAAGGCAGCTACTGTTCTCATAGCAAATTCTATAGACTTTGAAAGGACCTGGGTCTAAATGTTCTTTGTCAGAGCAAGAATGGCTAGCCCAACCTTCATCCGACTTCAGTTATTCATCAGTACTGGTCCACTTGAGGCATCTCATCAAAACTCACACAGATTGTTTCACGATTTTGGCTTTTCATATGCTTCATTTTGTGTAATTTTAAACTACCTGACATTTCATGTCAGTAAAATTCTAAGTTTGATGGAGAAGGGGTGGTATTTCATTCGCAGTAAGGAAACAAATTAGTTAAAACTGAGATTTTTCAAGGAATCTTAACTAACTTAGGTCCCCTAACCTGGCTGAGTTGCAGTGAGTCTTTTAGCTTAACAGTATTTTAGATTAAAATCCCAGCCTGCAAATACACTTATGTGACCTCTGAGAAACTGCCTAAAGCCTATGGTTAGAATTTATTTTGGCAGATAATCAACACCTTCTTATAGTATGAATGGGAACTTGCTCCCTTCTGATCTAAATGTTATTTCAGATAGGGAATTAACTGGAATAATAATAATAAAAAAAAAAAAGTAGAATTAAATGATTTAAAATTACATTAGTGGTAAGGAAATATTTTTAGTGAATAAATATGTTTATCTGCAAGTCCTAATGCTACAAGTTAATCATGTTAAGAAAGGTATTTGTTTTTAATTTAACATAACATGCAGCTGTTACATAGTTACTTTCTGAAGTAATAACTGCAGTTACTCAGTAATTTTTTACATATTTCCACTTTTTCAGTGGAAAATTTATGATACTGAGGGGAACTGAACTAGTTTTGAATATATTTACTTGCATCAAAAGTTTCTGCTGTAAGCCAGAGGCAGCATGCCATTACAAAAAAAAGTATAGATTTTTTCTGTTAGCTCCAGTTCTGTTCTGACGGATTCCTTTGGCTGTTACAAGACTTGTATTTTCTTTTGTACTTTTGGAAAAAGTACCATATATGGGAAGGGAATCTTTTAAAATTCACAGCAGTTTTCACAGGAGTACTACTTTTTGACTAATAGCACAATGAAAATATGCAGGGCCTTTATCTATCTTAGCTGCTCTGTAGGAGACTTTACTGTTCAAGTTCTTGGCATTTCAAAACCCAAAATACGGTATTTGGTTTGCAATTGTACATATTTTGTTCAGGTACTCAAATACTTGTTATAACATGATGATGTATCTATATTGTTTGTGGTCTTTCTAAAATTACAGCTGAACTCAGAACCTAAGATGTGCAGAAATGATTTCAGATAGTGTGTTGTAGGATGACCATTTGGTATTAATCTGTGAATTGCCTGAAACATTTCACAATGTTGTTAACAACACCAGCCCCCCCTCCACCCTCCCCCAATTAATTTCATCGTTAATATGGGAAGCTGTTTGGCCTCTTGACGGCAGACATCTTGGCATATTATGCTTTCAGGGCTTTTACTGTAATTTCTATACTACACAAATATATTTTTTTTCTTCTTCTCTCCTCAGAAATTTTTCCAAGAGATTCCAGTCTAAAAGACAAGTTCATAAAACATTTTACAGGTAAGGCAGCTGCTTGCTCTTAATTTTCCTATATATGCATATTCTAAGTAGCCGCAAGGGTCACATTAGCTTTTTTGAGGTTCTGCACCAAGTTTAACATTTGTGAAGTTAAAGTGTATATTTTAGGACTAGAATTTTTTAAAGAACCCTAATTAAATTGAGATTTGAGTCTCTCTTTGAATAATCTAGCTTAAAATAACTTTCAAAACATGGTAAGGTAAATCTTATTGGTTTGTTTTTATCGTCCTATTGTTACTTGATGTATCTATTTTCACGTTCATTAATTGTAAAACTTCTCATTGGACTGCACATGTCTTTCAGAAACAGACCTATGTGGCCATTTGAATTTTCACTTCATCAGGGAAACACTTTTCGTCTTCTTTTGTATGATGTGGATGTGGATACTTATTTTAATCAGTGTAAATTAAACAGAGAAATAATTAGCTATTTCAAATGTGAAAGTTTATTATGATTACAGTCAAGCACTTACTTGAAAACTGACTTGGAGTTAAATAATGCACTTATCTTTGGGACTCTCTAGCTACTGGAAAAAATACTGTACCCTTTGAATATATGTAAAGATTGTTGTCAACAGCAAGATGTTTGCACTGGTTCTTTACTCTCCACTTCCAAATGTTATGTAATTCAGAAAAGTGAAGGTCTCAAAATATGACACTGCAAATCTGTTGATGATTTTCAACATTATTGGGATTACTGAACCTAGAAACTAGAGAACTGGGTGGCAGTTGGAGCATGAAAAAGAGAATTGGGAATAATTATGCATTTCCTCTTTGCTGGAAATTTCAGACAGTCCTTGTCAAGAAAGAAATGAACTTTTTGTCTCTTTTGCATGAGGGAGGTGTCCTCAAACCTGTAGGATAAGCACAGCTCTACTGATCTTTCTGCCAGCTGCAGCCTAACAGCATTTTCAGGAAACGTGCCATACTCAGCTAGCCCTTTCACTCTTGTAGTAAACAAGAGTATGTATGAAGTTTACAATTCCCAGTCCATATGAGAAAGAAATGAAAACAATGTATAGATTCCAACTATGCTATCCTATGTAGCACAGAAATACTGAAAATTCCTCTACTGGGGAGGACAGACAAGAAAGATTTGCTTATATTAGTTCTTAATCCATTTCCTTTTCATTTGTAACTTTGCAAACTGCTCAGCTACCATAAAAAGCTCAACATAAGAATCTGGGGAAGCTAAATAATGAATACAGAACAAGTTTCATTACTCAAAAACAGCAGTGAAAAACAACCATGAGTTTTACAGTTTCGAGAACACTAAATCATACAAAAGAATAAAGAGCAAAAAATACTTGAAGGCCTGGAGCCATTCATTAAATTAATATTCCTTTTCTGCGTGAGTAGTTGGCATCAAAATTGCTGAAATTATTTGACTAACATTATCTGCAATGAATAAGTAAAGCAGATTCATTCCAGAATTCTCACGGGTTACTTCTTTGTTGGCTCAGAATTTCTGCCTACATCTTTTTGCCTTTCTTTTTTTTTTGTTTTTTTTTTAATATGCTCTTAAGATCTTCAGTGATGGGTTCTTCTGCCTCTTATTCACAGCTTTATTAGATCCTGTAATCTGTAGGTGTTTTCTTAAAATACAGCCTAACTTTCTTTATTCTGTTCAAACTGTAATCCTACAATCCTTTTTCTATCGATCAACCTTAGTTAAGTAAACTGTTCAGTTATAGTCCTTACTAGCTCAAGAGTTAGAACATCCTAAACTAATGAAGTTGTGAAAAAGCAGAGAAGGGGAAATCAACATTATCTTTACAGTACATTATCTTTACAGTTTCAGGGTTAGGAAAATTATTGTACACTTTTAGTATGCCAAGAATAGTAGACACATTTTAAAGCCAAATAAGAACCACATGTAACAGTCCTCAACTATAGGAAAAATCATAAATAATGTTGTGAGTCATAAAGCTATCTATCAATTCAGCTTGAAAAGCCAGCTGACACGGAGTGCTCTGTAAGGCACAAATAAAATTAACAGCCTATTTTTGATGTCATGAAAGAGAGCGAGAACACTATATATTATCTGAAGGGACACAGAATTTGCTTAGTGACAAAAGCTAATGTTATCTCCATATATCCTGGGTAATTTCAAGATACATACTTTTTCTTAAGCCTAATTGCTCCCTCAGATAAAAAATGGCAACAATCTTCTAGTTCAAAGTTGCAAAGGCTGCTTTGTGAGTTTGTTGAAAAGCTTATTTGTGGGTGAAAAATCTCATGAAATCCACATCCTACTGTAAAATACATCTCATGTTCAAGTGTGTTGATTGTCATAGAGAGGAATCTTTTCTCGAGCTTGTGGTCATTTGGCTCCATTACCCAGAGAGAATTGGCTTGGTATGTTTTACCAGGCTGATAACCTACCTTTTAAGTTGTGAAATAAATAATTTTTGCCCAGAAAAGCTTGCTGTCTTCTTCTGACAGGAAAATTAATTAACACAGAGTGCTTGGTATGGATCTTTTTGTAGCTTTGCTTTAAACAAGCTCTTACTCAGAGTTCCTATTTATGCTGAATTTAGAGGATGCAAATTCAATTTAGTCTTGTTCAGTTAGTGCTGATTTATGTCAGTGTTTTCTGTCCAAATCACAGGAAACTCATTCTAACAGTGGTGAAGTTGCTAAGCAGGTTACATGGTGCAAATAGTACATTTTTTCTCTCCTTTTTAACTTGGATGCCATCAGTAATACCTTCCTGGGACCATCAGCAACTATGGAAGGGCTCTTTGGCAATTCGTTACCTTTGAGTCATGTTTTAGAGACCAATAGCTATATAGTCTTATCAGATATTAACACAGACAGATGACACTGTATATCCAAAGAAGGGAGCACAGGACAAAGACACAGCACAAAACATCCTGGGCACACAGGAATTTGCCTGACCCAGACATTGACGTGCTGCCCTGTGCATGCCTGAACTCTTTCTTCTTAGGACTGTTCTAACAGGAGATCAAGTTCTAGATGTTACTCAGCTATTTTCTTTTTTTTTTCCTCAACACCCACATTGTATATTAAGAACTCCATAAACCATCTGTGTGCAAATTAGAAGCATTAATACATGCAACTACTTCATCTTTCCAGGGCTTAGAAACTCCTATTTGCTTAAAATGTTGCAATTATATATCTTTAGAAATAATTCCATCTACATTATTCCTTTTGAATTAGACTACTGATGTCTACCGAGCAAATTAAACTCTCCTGTAGTGGTACTGTTCTGTTTTTCACCATGTAAGAAATTTTACGGTTAATTTTGGAATTTCAAGGCTCAGTCAGTCCATCATTTTCAAGGGCCACTTTTCTGTTATTCAGATCATAAGCATAATAGCATAGCAATAGTATTACTTTCTGTTATTTCAGTAGCATTGTTATACTTGAGTTGCATCATAATGATTTAAGGTATAGGAAAAGTCTAGATATAATTTTAGCCAAAAAAAGATTGAACATTAATTGAAGCTGCAAAGCAGTGACATGGAAAGCTTATGATTAACTCACGCTTACTTTCGAACAGGGCCAGTCACATTTTCGTCAGAGTGTAGCAAGCACTTTCATCGACTATATCACAACACAAGGGACTGCTCAACACCAGCCTGTAAGTAGTAATTGAAATACCTTATAATGCTTTACATCAGCCAAACTCAAAGCAGACAATATGAGATTCATTCAACCTGAAATGTTCTGCTGATCTGAAAAGGAGAGCTAAATTCTCACAACTGTCTCCACCTTATCCAGCACTCAGGCTTAGAAGAACTATCAAGGCTGATCATAGCCAAGATCTTTTCCTGTCTCTTTAGAGGGGTTTGGTATTTTCTTTCAGGGACATCTTAGTCACTGTAGGATGTCTGAGGATGAATTATTTTTTCCCCTGCTGACATGGTTATATTCTGTATAAACATTCCCTGAAGACCTGAACCCAGGTTAGCATTCAATCTCTTGCTGTTGGTCATCATTTCTATTAAGTTTTATTAAAACACTTACCAAGCAAGAGAAGAAAATTGCACCTAAATATTTCTTGTTACCAAATAGGTCTTTCTGTCAGAAAGGACAGTAGTGGCTCAGGGGCCATTTGAACCAAGCGGTCATTTGAACCAAGAACACCAGAAAGAGACATAGCAAGTGGGACACTATTATCTCTAGTCTGATGATTAGAAGATATACTTAAGACATGGTAAATATGGATTCCCATCAATGTTAATTCTAAGTGGAAAATAAAGTTTAAACACATTTGAAAGAGGCGGACCTCAAACTGTCTTATAGTCTGCTGCTTAGAATAGCTTCCCCGTTAATGAGTTAAATTCCGTGAAGTAAATTTGGAAGTTGAACCTGGTCTTCTACATCTTAGGAGGAAACTACCTGGTAGAAAATTAATTGCTGCCATCACTCACATTTCCTCTAGAGCTCTGGCTAGGATAAAATACAATCTAATTTTGCATCTTACACACATCATTTAATGAATTTCCATCAGAGAATGGTTTCACTGTGTAGAGTGCCTGAAATTCTAGTACAAAATCTACATTTAATTTTATGCAGGTTTTTGAGGGTATCTGGCAACTGAGATTCATTATTGCTGTGGGTGATTTTGTTTTATAGATTACAAAAGGTGTGCAAGGTTGCTAACGAGATTAGCAATGAGCCCTTTGTGTACACAATCCTAGGATGTTTGCTGTGTAAGTATAATTTTTCCCACTCATTTTCTTATTTGTTGAATGGTCTAGTGATTTACTCCACACTTTTTATCAGGCATGCATACATAAATGTGGTACTAACAGAGTGCATCAACATGCAGTTCTGGCATTGCTGTAAGGACTGACTGGTTCCTCATAGAAATATAGGGAAGCACAGATACCTCTGTAGGCACCACTGTAATTTCCTACAGTTACACACTTGTGGCACCATAGTCCATAATTATGCACTGGGTGACTTCTGACTGTTTAGAATTTCAAGAAGGAGTTTGGTTGGTGAAAGAAAAATATGTGAGGACTTCATCAACGCTTAATTTCAGGCCTTTCAAAAGAGGGCTTTGTTATCCATGGAAGAAGAAAACTATCTTGGTCTCAGGTCTGCCATTGATAACCTGGTCATCTTTTAGGCCACTTTTCATTCCCAAATCATCTCCTGGGAACTTCTCTAACCTTAATACCACTTCATGGTGATGAAAGTAAACTGAACATGAAGATGTGACAAAGCTAAAGGCTTTAACTAACTGGCTGTGGAAGGAACTAGTCTATTCTTGTTTATGAATAGCATGTTAAATGTGTTAATTAAACAGCATTGTCACTGAAGGAGCATCTTCAAGTGTGCTATTTTCTTGAGTTGTTTGAATATCAATAAGACAGTTACAGTTCTAACAGTGATTTGAAAAACAGCACTGGTTATTACTGACCAATGAAATATATAAAATCAGTGATTTAATTTATTTAAATTTCTTCAAAGATGGTTTCCTTTCACTACCTCCTCCTGATAAATACTGCAAGCTTGGAGTTTGGAGGAGTTGTGTATGTCATTTCTTCCTGCATCAAGACTTCAATTCATACTAATCAAGAATAAGAAAGGAAGAGTAGGATATGAGTCAGTGTTAGCTGATTTGATTTCCAAGTGGAGGTGGGATTCATTCTGGTGGCTGTTAGAAAGTGCTTTGAAGAATATGGCAATATTTCAGTTCTAAGAAGAAATGACATAATTTCTTTCTCCTTTTCTTAACTGTTTTCAGTCTGTTTGGTCTCTTGCCTTCCACATCTTGCAGATGGTTTTGAATGCATCGGGGACAGTGAACCAGAGACTGAGTAGGTCTACCATTACTTTGCCAGGATCTTCTTTACCTTTCCTTACTGAGAAAGGAACCCTTTTCTCAGTTCGCTTTTCTAAAATATTTTTTTGAGGTGCCTAAACTCCTGTTTGTTTGTTAGTGTTCTCTTTCAAACCTCAGCTTTCTCATTTTGTGCATTTCACCTATGTAGTCTGTGTTTGTCCCTCATCTGTATCCCTTCACATCTCTGGGTTCATGGCTCAGAGTTTCCAGAAATATTTCTGGGTGTTCCAATACTTTTTTTCCTTTTCTTTCAAGAACGTGAGTCAAAGATCTGCCTTCATATCCACAGCATCTATCTCATTCTTCCATCTTTAAAATACAAAAGGATCGAAAGTTGCTATGATTTGCAAATCCAGGTGTTCTAATTTGCCTGTCAAAAATACACTCAAAGATGACAGGTGGGGAAGGGAGGGTTTAGATGGTAAGCAGTGTTAGCAGCTGGTGTGTAATGTGTTCACTTAAAGTTTTTCTCTTCTCTCTACTTTGTTAAAAATAGAGGAAACATTGTAGGAAGAAGTAGAGCTATGATCAAGTGTTTCCCAGCTGCCTCTGTGCTCACTCATCCTGTTCCTTTATCAAATGGATAGAGCATCTAATTTCCACTAGAAATAAGACAAGCTCAGGCCTTCATGTTTACTTATATCCAATATCTTTTTGGAATGGCAACATTTCCTGAGAAGGATGAAGGATGGCGGGAGTCACTCTTTCTTCTCTCCAAACAGACAGGGCAGCACAGGAGTTATATATGTTCATGCCTCAATAACACTGCATTTCTATCAGGATTCTGTGATTGCTTCTACTCCATCTTGTGGCACAGAGGATCTGTCTTTGTCACCACCCTCACACTAGCTTGGAGAGGATAGGGTCATAGTTGCTGTTTACTGTGAGGGATTTTACCTTTGCTTTAACATTTGAGAGAGTCTTGGAGAGTCTCAGCTGCCTTGAAGAATGAGGCTCTCCCACTCAAAAAATTTACACCAATTTGTAAGTATTTCTCCTGCATGTATTAAAATAGGCTGTGTTTTCCTCATAAAAAAAAGAACCTCAATGCTATTATGCGAATATTTTCGTCCCTCTCTTGTAAGTGCTCGGTTAAAAAAAGGAGACGTGGTCTTTTTCTGTTAGAAATGAAATTGCCTGGGAAAAGCCAGTTTTCTTGCGGGAGAAGTGGGAGCGGCCGGGACGCGGCCGCGGGACGTTTCAGGACCATGGATAAGGCCGCCGGGGCCGGGGTGCGGGATGCTCAGAGCAGCGGCTGCCGGGGCTGGTGTGCAGGACAGGCACTTCCTAGCGGTTACTCGCTCTTTCACGGCCTTCAGACCTTTTTTGGGTTGTATTTTTCGAATTCTGATACTTGCAAATGGAAGTAAAGCATTCGACGAAGTCCAGAATGTAGAAATAGTCACAACTATGGGAAACTTCCTTGTAAGATGCAGCTTTGTGCACCGCTATGTGTAAACCTCTTAGCATCAGCGCTGAGGATTTGCCACAGCAAAACTCATTAGTGTTTGCTGAAGGGCAAGAGCCACTGGCATTCCAGAGTTAATCTTAAGATTTATGCAATCCACAGGAAACTGTTATTTATAAACAGAGTTATACTGAGTGGTCTGCCTCTGTGTTTTGAAACTAGTTCTAAAATGGCATGTCCTTTTCTCTTGCAGACTTTCTACCAAGAAGAGAATTCTGATTTGCCAAGAAAGTGCCTTGAAATCTTCCGAGACAGAGAAGACATCTTTTACCTTTCTGATTTACATTTTGTTACTAGATGCTTTTTATTTTCATATATTTGTTGGACATTCCATATTTGTGTGAAACATTATTTTATTTTAATTTGTAAATTTGTTGCCTATAGTTCAGACAAGCCAATTATTTAAATACAATGTATATAAAGAATACTAATGATATACTGATTAAATGTTTCAACCATATGCAGGGAGTTGGTAAAATTTTGCTGTTTCTTGTTCCATTGTATTTACATCATTCTGCTCAGGCTCTTACTTTCATTATTTGCACTAACTTGAAATGCAGAAGTCTATGTAACTGAAATCTGAATAAGCTGTAAGTGGAGAAGTTTTACTTGCCATGGAAGATATTTTATATTATGAAGCTTTGTTAATATATACATATATATTATTGCACATCAGAAAAAAAATTGCTCAGAAATGCACCTTGCTTTCAGGAACATTTGTATGACTATTCTGGATTGTCATCAGTTACATTTGTACTGGCACTTATGGAAAGAGTTGCAAATAATGTAGATATAAAGACTGGAAAACTGCAATGCAGTTTTGGTGGAATAAAGAACATAAAAATAAAATCTTTTCCAAGAGGGATTATTTAAATTTATTAAGAGGCTAATTATTTAATATAAAAATCTAATTTATCTGGTGAACTTGAAATAATTTTCCACTGAGAACTGGAAACTTGTGGGTTTAGGTTTTAAAATATTTCATTTTCAAGTGGTAAATTTTAATCAGATACTTATTCTTCAACTGAATGAGGTGCAAACAAAAACACATCATGCACCCACTGTGAATAACGGAAGCCTGTGGGGATGAGAATAGCATAGTAGAAGAGAAAATACTCTAATATCATAAAACCAAGGGGTATAATGAATGAATTTGGCTGGTGACATATCAAGCTTAACTAGTTGGGAAGAATCCAAAGCACAATTGCTCATCTTTCTTACTTAAAATCAAATTGTGATGATAACATTTGCTACCCATTTCTCTCAGGTCTGTTACTGCAAGCTTATACGATTGCGTTACAGAGAACGTGGTATTAAGTGAGGGGTTTAAGGTCAGGCCCAGAGTAACTGACAGCACACATTCATTATTGTGCCCAAATCACAATTCTTGTAGTTAACTGGCCATTCAAACCAATCCCCTCAGATTAGTTATTGTCTCTATCCTTTCCCTCAGTGTGGGCTTCGTGAGCCCTTTAACTTCTATGGCCAGCACTTTTCCTTCTGCAAAACAGGGGGGAAGCTGTGCCCTGGGGTTCCTTGCCAAATAGCAAACAGCTGAGTTATTATCCAAAGGGGTTTTATTTTTTCTTTCTATATGGTTCGGTGTTTCTCAGCACCAAAGTTCTGCTGTGTGCCTATGATGCACCAGGCAGTCAAGCCCAAAACAGCTGCAGGTACCATGATGTTCTGTATGGGCAATAGTATAGTAACCAGCTGTTTCTAACCAGCTCCTTAGTTGCAGCTGTTAAAGTAGTTGCTCCTGCTGTAGTCCTGGATAAAAGGTTGTTTTTCAAACTTTTTGCCATCATGTTCTTTCAGTAAGAGCAAAGTTTTCAAGCCTTGCTCTAATTCACGTTGGATGCGGTATTCATGTTGAAGTAGCATGTGGGAAGTCCTAGTGGCTGAATGGTGAGATGGATAACCTCATTTCTCTGTGAGTAACATACTTCATAAAAGGATTATAGCCAAACACTTCAGCTAGAGGAGAAAGGATGAGGCCCAGAATAGGGATCAGAAGCTCAGAGAAAAGTGTCTGCTTTAGTCATGCTTTTGTATCTTTACTCTGGTTTGTTTTCTTCTCAATTTTTTAAAACTTCTTCATTTCTTTCCTCAAGTGGCTGAAAACAATGAAATGAAAAGCAGAAGAAGTGTTTTTTTCTGACAAGGACTTTTTGTGATATCTGAATTCCAGTGAGAAAAACTAATTTGGGGTATTTGATATCATTTTGGGTCTCAAATGTGCTACATCATGAGCTTCACCCTTGTAAAAATAAAGACATCCTCTTCCTATTAAATAGAGAAGTGATCAACTCCCTTTTCAAGCCTTTTCAAGAAAGTATGTCCCTGGCTTACAGTGTTCTCCCTGCTCTAACTACAAAGTCTGAACAGCCATGTAACTCATGCATATTCTGCATGGCACCTTGAATGCTTAGGTAGCAATAACCTACCCTCCATGTTTCCTTTGCAGATTGCCCAAATGAAGGGTTAGAAACGTAAATACTGATTTCTTCCAAAGCATGCTTTTGGTTACATAAAGCTGTAGGTGTTCTGCCAGTTTTTGACTAGAAAGGAAAGGGCTCAGACTGAGAATCTCAGCAGACAGTTATGATAGAGGATTAAAAAAAAAAAAGTCTTTGTAGCCTATTCTCATTTTAAAGGGAAAAAAGAAGATGGAGAATCATCACTTTGGGATGCCTGGATTTTTACGCTGAAGGTCGCAGTGCAGGAATTCAGGCAAAGTATAAAATAGGTACTTTTTTCTGAACAATATATATTTTCACTTGTCTTAAATTATTTCAGTCCATAAATGAATGATTTTGAAACAGTCTGTCATACTCTATTATACAAAGATGCATTAATTTAAGTCACCAAAGAGGTCAGATTGGCTCTTAAGAAATAAAGAATATCTGAACCAACTCAAATAACATACTGTGATAAGGATAAAACTGAAATATCCCTCAGGAGTAATTCTGCCATATCACTCTTAGCAGTAGGCTCTTGCATCTGTCTACTGCAAAGCATACTGTAAAGACAATAATCAGTCCCACAGAAGAATGTACATATTCATTACACTTTACTGCATTCCTACTATAGTCATTTTTCCTACCTCATCTTTCTTCATTCGACTGCTGTTTGCACAATTAAGAGTTTGTGTTTCTATGGGTTTAAATATTTAAAGCTGAAAGTTCTCAAGAGCTAGCCCTTGGAGACTCATAAGCAAGCTGATACATATGTCCATTGGAGCTTTCTACCATACCAGTACCTAATAGCAAATATCAAAGTTTAATTTACTGCCTTTCTTTTTTCTTCTTTCTTTTTTCTTTTTTTTTTAATTAGAGGATTGAAACATTTTATTGAAAACTTACGATGTAAAAGAAACAAAGACTTAAGCAGATAAATGTAGGGGTAAAACTTTTACTGGACCTCATAAGGCTGGGTTGACTGCCATTTGGTGGCTCTGTCAGTTTTATACAATCATCACAAACCTAAAGCTGCAAAAAATTTCTGGAAGTTAACCCTCTCTCAGAGCTTCTGTATGTCTGTGTTGTGGTTTAAGCCCAGCCGGTAACTCAGAACCACACAGCCGCTCACTCACTCCCCCTCTTCTTCCTCCCCCCACTCCTGGAGGGGTGGAGAAGAGAATCAAAAAAGTGTAACTCCCATGGGTTGAGATAAGAGCAGCCCAGTAACTAAGGTATAAGACAAACCACTACTGCTACCACCAATAATAAGAATGATAAGGGAAGTAACAAGGGGAGAGGATACACTTCCTCACCACCCACTGACCGATACCTCGCCTGATCTGAGCAGCGATCTGGGCCTTCCAGGTAACTCCCCCCAGTTTCTATACTGGGCATGACGTGCTGTGGTATGGAATACCCCTTTGGCCAGTTTGGGTCAGGTGTCCTGTCAAGAAACAAAGTAAAAAGAAAAACCACTACTGCTACCACCAATAATAAGAATGATAAGGGAAGTAACAAGGGGAGAGGATACACTTCCTCACCACCCACTGACCGATACCTCGCCTGATCTGAGCAGCGATCTGGGCCTTCCAGATAACTCCCCCCAGTTTCTATACTGGGCATGACGTGCTGTGGTATGGAATACCCCTTTGGCCAGTTTGGGTCAGGTGTCCTGTCTCTGCTTCCTTCCGGCTTCCCCTCCTCCCTGGCAGAGCATGAGACTGAGAAAGTCCTTGTGTGGAGTAAACGTTACTGAGCAACAACTAAAAACATCGGTGTTATCAGCGTTGTTCCCAGGCTGAAAGTCAAAACCACAGCACTGCACCAGCTACTAAGAAGGAGAAAAAATGACTGCTGTAGCTGAACCCAGGACAGTCTGATATACAGAGATAGACACATCTATCTCTCTGGCTATATCTGTCAGCATTACTTCACAGTCAAAAATGTTTCCAGTCATAGTAAAGCAAAAGCTGTTACCATTCCTATATTTTGTCATTTCCATCTAAACTGTGTTTTGGCAACAAAATTAACAATATCTTTTTTATAAACTTTGGTAAAAAAAAAAAAAAAGGGAGGGCCAGCTTTTTTCGGGGGTTTTTTTTCTGGTTTTTTTTTTTTTTTTTTTTTTAAATTAATCTGCTAGTTGTCTGCTTTTCCCAAATAGCTCTGCTAAGTACAGCTGAATACCTTGTTTCCAAATATTGAAAGGAAATACTTTCATAAGTATATAGGGGAGCTTTCCCGGGGAGAGAATTTCTCTGTACTTCAAAGTAAAATCCCCACTGAGCAAATAAGGTTGTATAAGCTGACTCAGTCTCAAGGATAATGTATACTTAGGAATATTTTCAAATCAAAGTGTCTTCATGCTTCCTCCCATCTGCTACATATATAAACATTTAGCAAACAACCTACTGGCTTGTGTATGTATGCCTTATATCTTACTCTGTTCATCTATTCAATCTATAACTTTTACCTTTATCTTTTTATCAATGTACTGATGTAATCATTGTTTCTTAACTTCGTAAGTTCATTTCAAGGTTTTATTAGATATTGTTTTCCAACTAGCAGCCAATACTGCTTTGTATTTAATGATCTCCTTATCTTTCATTGGACACAATATATTTATGTTACAGTGCTGTCATGAAAGCACTTTGAGCATACTATTTTTGTCTGAAACAGCCTTCTAATGGCAGATTTTAAGAGTTTTATAATGGGACTTAATATGTTTATGAATGAGAAGGTTGTAAGATGGCTTCCTATAACAGCTAAATTCTATGTCTCAGGTGGTCTTTCCCATCCCTATGCAACAAAGAAAGGCAATAGATGAAAACACTGACAGCAGAGACTGAGGTTTGCAAGATGGGGTGCAAAGGGCCTTAAATTTCACCTACTCTTGAGGAGTTCCTTCATCTTTTCAGATCCTGAGATAATCTTGTATCTCTCTTACATGAATTGTGCAGCTGCCAGAGCACATTAAGCAGGCATATGGTATATTTTTTGGTGATAACTGGCACAAAGAATAAAAACACTGGTTCTGAACACTAGACTTGAACCATTTGATGATGGTTTGAGCCAGACCCAGGCTACATAACAGACTGGCACAGCACATAAGTCATCAGCTTATATTTAATTGCCACTGGAATAATAGAAACATGTTTTTAAATTCATATGGGGCTGAACTGTTCTCGGTGAGACTGGATTTTGCCAGGTTTTGGAGTTACATTATATTTTCCTAAATGAAATAAGTGTAAACATGATATTGCTTGAATTCTTGCAGTTAATCCACAGGCTCATGGCTGAAGGGACACCAAACTGAGTACCATGCTTCTGATGGAAATAGCTTATTCTTCACTGTCTGATATCCTTGGGCCAGGA